AAATACATCTAGTTGATACCGCTACACCTCCTGCATCAGCTCAAATCCCTTTTCCCAGCAGAGGGGTGACATTCTATGTCCCTAGAGCCAGTGTGCAATGCCAGGGGTCGGCTGAACCATTGCCCAGTATAAAAAAAACGTTGTGCCAAGTTGCTTGATACAATTTTGATTGATTGCTGTTTTGTTTCTACTAGATGGGTGAAGGGAAGTTTGAGCACTTTGAGAGTCACTCTGCGTTGGAGATCGCAGAACAGCTCACTCTGCTGGACCACCTGGTGTTTAAGGTCATCCCATATGAGTGAGTGCCATCACGACTCAGCTGTACATGTCTGTAGCCAGGAAGAACACATGGACCAATCCAGTGTTCACATTTAATTTTCAATCTGTTAACAGGGAATTCTTTGGACAAGGCTGGATGAAGAACGACAAAAATGAGAAGACGCCGTACATCATGAGAACAACAAAGCACTTCAATGATGTATGTTCCAATCAACAAGCCCCTTACACATCTTCTGTATTCGTCATTGTCAAATGATAATATTGAGTATTTGTTTCTCTCTTTCCTCTGCAAGATAAGCAATCTTATTGCCACAGAGATCCTGCGCTGTGATGACGTGGTCACTCGAGTGTTGGTCATAGAGAAATGGGTGGCTGTAGCAGACATCTGCCGCTGTCTCCACAACTACAACGCCGTGCTCGAGATCACCTCCTCCCTCAACCGCAGCTCCGTCTTCCGTCTCAAGAAGACCTGGCTCAAGGTTTCCAAGCAGGTGTGTATCTCCCTAAGTATTGTTTGTTAAGCTTTTTTTCCTAATGTTCTTCCTGCTATCATTAATTGTGTTCCCTTTCTTCTAGACAAAAGCATTGATTGACAAGCTGCAGAAGCTGGTCTCATCAGAGGGGAGGTTCAAAAACCTGAGAGAGGCTTTGAAGAAGTGAGTTCAGTTCAAGGACATAGTTTTGTACTGGATCAATACAGCAAGCTTGCAGTACAAGTGGATGATGTGTGTTTTTTTTTCCCACCAGCTGTGATCCTCCCTGTGTGCCCTATCTGGGGATGTACCTCACAGACCTGGCTTTCATTGAGGAGGGAACGCCAAACTACACCGAAGACAACTTGGTCAACTTCTCAAAGATGAGAATGGTGAGATATTCAGTGTCCTGACGCATGAGAGAGTTTGTGCAAGTGTGTGTTTTAGTTGTGTGTGTGTTCAGAATTGAATATCCTGTTTCTCATGTGTTTTTTTCAGATTTCTCACATCATCAGAGAAATCAGGCAGTTTCAGCAAACAGCATACAAGATTGACCTGCAACCAAAGGTAAATGAATAACAAAACTGTAAACAGCCTTTCTGGCTTGTGACACGTTAAGAAAAGCTGTAACAAATGCAGAGGCCAAGTGCTCAATCCATTTCAAAAGCACCTGTAGTGAGTCAAGAGGAACTTAAGGTTCTTTTGAATCTCTGATCACAGACATTTGCTGCTCAGGCACTCTTTACCAGAGCAAGAAGAAGAGGTCAATCCAATTTTATTTATGCAGCACAATATCACAAATTTGCCTGAATGGCTTTCACAATGTCTACAGCTTATGACACCCTCTATCCTTAGTCCCTAGACTTTCTTTGTTATATTAATTGCCTTGATTTCATCAGACATGTTGGTTTCAAACACTTTTAACCTCAAAAGCAGAAAGAAATGAACCTAGTAAAAAACATTATTATTATGTTTGTTTTATTTTAAAACTTTTCAGGAGGCCTAAAGAGAAAATGGTCAAAAAATAGACCTGTTTTGTTTTCTGTACTATGTGTTGTAACCACTTGGTGGTGGTGCTGACATCCTGACCAAGTTTTGCAGGAGCAACTAGAAAGATCGTGAGAGAATAAGAAGAATAGGAAATCTGAAAATATGTTATGCACTTATGCTACATAAATTAGAATTTGTTTTTTTTTTTACAATTCTCAAATTTTTGTTTTATATGTGAGTTGATGGATAGTTTTCTTTTTCAGCCCTTTAAAAACTTAATCAAAAATATCTTTATAAATTATAATAGCTCATTAGATGACCTGGTGATAACCTTTAGACGTATGATACCAATGATGATGCGCTACACGGAGTCATCGCCTTATTTAATGGGGTCACAAACCAAAATGCTGGCAACCACTTACATAGACAATCAACAATCTTTACTGCCTTAGCTATTTTGTGTTGTTTGAAAAGTGTGAAGATTCATTTCGATGAAGGGAGATTTCTTAAACTTGGTTTTGTTTTGTCTTTTAATCTTCCAGGTAGCCCAGTATCTACTGGATAATAGCTTTGTTCTGGATGAAGAAAGCATGTACGAAGCCTCTCTCAGAATTGAGCCTAAAGTGCCCAACTGATGGGGAAGTTGGTCCTCCACATTATTTCCTCTGTTAATATTACACATCAGTTAACAAACGCATCAACTTTTGTATAGTTGTACATGTTTAAGATATTTGCTCTTCTGTACAGTAGATGTTTAAGGTTGTTTGATGACACAAAACCTTTCAGTGTATATTTTTTGTTTGTTACTGTTGCCATGATGCCACCTGCTTTGAGATTTCTTTTTTAATTTATTTGGGGTATTTCAAGCATAATAACAGAGGTCCCTTTGCCTGCACATAACTGTGTCTTCTTAGTGACCAATGACATTATTTTGCATCATCTCATACTGTGTTGACTTTGCACTTTCTGAGCACTCGTGCTGCTGGCCGTTGTTCTCTTTGCCTGAGTTTCATCGATGAGTTTCTCTGCAACCAATGTAGCATTGTAAAAATGTAACCGCGTCAAATCAGGGAAAAGAGCCCAGAGAATATAGCTGGCTTTAAAGATATGGAACAATGATCAGTGGAGATAACAGTGAGGTACCAGAAGCATAACTGTCTCTATGCTTCCCAAAAACAAGAGGGATTTATTTTTTAATTTGTGCTGACTACTCGAAAGTCAGAGGTTCCCAACCGTTTTATTTGCCCTGCGGACCAATTTTTTTTTGTGACAGTATCATTGTGGACCAGCCCAATGGGACGGACCGGGGATGAAACCTAAAGGATAAACAAATAGTTATGAATACCACTTTATAAAACAACTAATACTGAACGAGTGCTCATTGTGATGATGAAAAAAAGGTTACCTCACATACTCATAAACTTTTTTAAATAAGTGTCTACAGCTCTAGCAGCTCTGAGAGGCTTTACTTAATGCTAACATACTTATGTTCATTATCTTTGTTTAGTGTGATAGCATGCTAACATTTGCTAACATTTGCAATCCATAAAATAGCTGTTGTCATGCTGCTTTCACAGTAAAAAAAATCAATTTATTGTTGGTTAGAACATGACGGGGCTGATGACTGATGACATTTATAATTATGAAGATTTTTTTGCAGAATCACACAGTTTCTTCGCTCCCCAGTTGCAAATTTTCAAAGGGCCGGTTACAGTCCGCAGAGGGCGGGAACCTCTGCTCTAAAACACTTCCTCAATAACCTAAAATCGAGACTATTTGAAGTGTCTTTATTTATTGTCAAGCAATACACTCTTCCTCTTAGCCTCTTGTGACACAAGGTACCCAAACTCACCTTAGTTTATTTGATCTAATCAGTGATAAAGAGAGATTACATCTCTTTAGATTGTTGTGATTTAAAGTGAAGCATTAGACATCTGAATTTACCGTTACACTTCAAATATACCAATACAGTACAGTGAATTCTACCTATGTTTAAATTTACTGTTTTTTGGATTTTAGTTAAACTCGTAAAAAAAGATCACATGCGTTGGAAAGTGTTGTACCTTCAGGTTTGGCGATGATTCTGTAGAGTAAAAGGTTTTGCTCCTCTGTAATTAAAAGACAATCTGTCCTTTTTGCTGTTCCAGTGATTGTGGAACGTGACTGTATATCACTCTGTTATATGCATTGCTGTTTAAAACTATGATAAAAACGTATGTGAATGACCTCTGCCTGCAGCATTCAAATACTATTTTTGTAGTAGTATAAGAGAGAGTGAACTTCTCTTTATATGAAAATGGGAAAGTATTTTGTACTTTGTTGTTATTTCACCTCACTGAGATGTGCTGTACATTTTGTACATGCAACCCTGCATATTTCTCAATGTGGAACAGTGTAATCCTTTCAAAAAAAAAAGTTGTATCTTAAGCTTGAACACGAAACACTACAACAGTGTGGTCCTGAAACCATGATTTAGACAACTTCAAAGTGTTTTGCATTAATACTGTAATCCTGTCTATAACCATTTCTGTTAGCAGGAATATAGTAACGTAGTGCTTATTCTGTGAATATTTGTATGTATTTTTACTATGTATGTACAGTACACTTTTGAAGCTCATGTGGCAGGCATGCAACACCTTCACAGACAGAATAATACTATATACTTATACTGTATACACTTATACACGCACATACTCTTATAAAGGTATATCAACAAATAAACATTTTGCTGTTAGCAATACCCAGTGGTATGAAAATTATCTTTCAACCCTCATGTTTCCACACCTTAAGAAATATTACCAGTTTTGTAAGAAAAAAAATGAAAAGACAACAAACGATAATATATGATGATGATAACAACAAATAAACAAGAATATGTTCCCAGTAACCTCTTGCTAATAAATCCATTTTATATCAGGGGCATTTTGTCTCAAGTGTTTTTGTAGATCATTTATCAGATGACACCATTCTCACTCAGAATGAAACAAAATAAAATCTGTAGAAGTATTTAACATCACCAGCATTTCTCTGTCCACGAAGCCCACAGTGGACAAAAGTGTAAAATCTCAGCTTTATCTAAAAGAAGAAAAACAAATGATGTTGCCTAGTTAACGTAGTTGTATGCTGAAACACAAGTTATACTGTCAGGATATAATGTGTCACTTCCAGATTTTCACAATGAATTGAAAATCACTCAATTTTATGTGGAGGTACCAATTACATCAGGGTTTGTTATCTCTTCGTATTTATTTATTTTGTATGTATTTTAATTTTATGTATGTAATTTATATATAAATGTTGGCTGGATGAACCTGGCCTGGGGGCAAAACATCCTCCTTATTACATGCCCCGATACAATGCTATGCTGGAAGACTATCTTACCCAACGTTTTCTATCAAACACAACTTTATTTATGAATATATGGCCACTATATAAACTACAATTTTGACACAGGTGCCCCTCTTCATAACAAACAGGAACCACCTTAGTTGATTTTATGCTTTTGTGGTTTGTGGTAAATATGAATTTTTGATTTCAGGGCAAACTTTCCTAAAATACTATCTTTATAAGTGAACATTAAAATTGTATAATGATTTTTTCGGATATTTATTGCCTGGTTGTTCTATAGTCAGTACACCTGATTAATTAAGCCTTGATGTCACCCATTTTGTGCACAGTTTACTTAGTTTACGTATTTATGGGAGAAATAAATAATGTATCCAACCATTAAATAACCTCTGACATAACATGTACACGGTTTGACCATTATCACCTCATTATACCTTTAAATTAACAAAGAGGGCATTTTGAGTATATATTTGTTTTAATAAGTTTCTAGCGATACAAGATGAACCCTCAAAATACTACGAAAGAAATCTCCTGAACAGAGGAGGAACAAATCTCTTCAGTTTATGGGCGCTATGTTTGACACTGGTTGATTCGTTCTCCTTTGTCGGTAGGGTAATCTGTGACAGCCGTTCACCTCGTGACTTCTCATCCACTTCTTTCACTTTCACCACCTCGGTTGTTGTTGTCTAAAGCTTTAATAGTCGAAGTGATCACGATGAACACTTTGCTTTTGTTTGCTTTGCTGTCAGCAGCTTCGGCTTTTCACCTGTCTGAACGAGGTAAGCTGCTGCAATCGTCCCGTTTTCGTACAGAAGGCTACACTTACTTTTTCAGTTTTATTATTTGTGTTAACTTTCACTTCATTGACCTGCATGGCGTTTGCCCGTTTCTTAACGCCTAATTTTCTGTATTACATCGGCAACATTTTGACAATGTCACTTGTTTTCAGACGAGTTTCACTTCAAGTCATGGATGGCACAGGTATGTTACACTGTATATATCAATCAATGTGTAGCAAGTGTACAGTTAGTTATGAGGAAGTTAGCTGCAGGGAAAAATCCCTAGCATTGTTACTTAATGACTTATAAGCACAATGTTGAATTGTGAGCTACATGATTACAACCATATTATAATTAATAAATATATATATATAATCAGCAATAACTCCCCCGTTTAAAGCACAACAGAGCGTACAGCGTGGAGGAGTACCATGAGAGACTCCAGATATTCTCTGAGAACAAGAGGAAGATTGACAAACACAATGAAGGAAATCGTACATTCACAAGTAAGAATAGCTTGTTATTGAATGCACTATTTTTATTTTTTTCATATGATCCACAGTAAAATGTGTTGAGCAATGTTTCATTATCATCATTTCTTCCTGCAGTGGGGCTGAACCAGTTTTCAGACATGACATTTAGCGAATTTCGAAATACTTTCCTCTGGTCTGAGTCACAGGTAATGCCATATATATAGGCCTACATGAATCATTTGCAAATATATGTATATATTTTTCACAGTGAGGATCTTTATTTTGCATACTATCTTTTATAGAACTGTTCAGCTACCAAGGGGAACTACTTCAGCAGCGACGGACCACATCCAGACTCCATCGACTGGAGAAAGAAAGGAAACTATGTGACTGACGTGAAGAATCAGGTGAAGTTTAACTGCACTAACATACACACACACAAACACGCATATTTCATCTTCAGTTATTGATCTCAAAGTTCACAGTAGGTTGTGTTGTTGCTGGGTAACAGCAGATTATAAGAGTTTCCAGCTGTCGATAATATTATCGTCCAGCCTGAATCCAGTGGGTCACAAACTAGGTGACAGTCCTCTTAGCTGCATGTGTCCCAGGGCATAGGCGTACATTACTAATGGTTGGTAGTGTGTTTGCAACAGAAAAGCATCAAAATTAACAGCCATTATGTGTACAAAAAAAACTTTGAATTTGCAAATAGACACAATTCTCCTACAGTGCAATGCACAAAGGAATTGGAAGAGCTTTGGGATAGCGGTGAAACCGCCTAAAACGTTTGCATGTCTCTGTTAAGTTTAATTGATATCATTCCCTGTAAGTGTAAAACCAGAAAGTATATTTATTTCTTGTATACTAATTTAAAAACAGTATACCATAAAGATAAGTATTTATTCTGTTTAGAGTTAGTATGGTGTATGTTGCAGCTTCTAAACTCAATGCGTTGCCGCCCACAGACGCCCTAACGTCAGACATGATCAACGCGCTGTCCGGTCAGTTAGTTAGTTAGTCACTGTCTGATGGTCCATGATGGTTCCGGTGGTTCAAGGGTTGTTTGAATGGTGTATTCAAGTTGGTGGGTCAGGTTCAACTGCTTCAAAACTAAATCAAATCCCCAAAATAAACAGGCCTTTCCAAAAACTTTAAATCAGTGGTGAAATAAAACAACAAAACTAAGATTAAACCAGCCAAAATACCCCAAACAATCGGTGGTTCCTCGTGGCTTCACCACACCTGCCTTCAATGAGAACTTTTTGAGATTTGAGGTCAGGTGATGCTGGTTTAGCACCAAAAGCTACCACTAGGTGCTGCCAAACTATTTACATTGAGGTAATTATAAACAATAAGAAATGATAAAAGCTTGCTAGAAATTTCTTTAACAAAGTATGCAATTCGTCATCGTTAATGTTATTAGTTGCACCTGTTCTTTTCCTGCTGCAACATGTTTTCTGTGAGAGAAGGTCTATGAATCTTATTCATTCCATAAATCAAATGTCTTTTTGTTTTATCTTCTCTTGTTGCAGAAAGCTTGTGGTAGCTGCTGGACTTTTTCCACAACTGGATGCCTGGAGTCCGTTACCGCCATCGGCACAGGAAAGCTTGTACCGCTGGTGACTTTCACTTCTCTATCAAAACTGCTGCACTTGTATGAAAAATGTAGCCCATAGTTCCATTGTCATTTTCATTTTCATTTTCATATCACTTAGTCAGAACAACAGCTGGTCGACTGCGCTCAGGATTTCAACAACCATGGATGTAACGGGTGAGAGTCACACTGATGTTTCCTACCTTTTTTAATAATTTACCCATAACTGCAGCAGAGTGCATCACCACGGACACAGTTTTATAACGAGATCTTAATGTGTCCTCTCTAGAGGCCTTCCCAGTCAAGCATTTGAATACATCATGTACAACAAGGGACTCATGACAGAGGCGGACTACCCATACACAGCTTCTGTAACTATAAACAAAACTGAAGAATAAGTAAAACTGACTTTGACTTGCAAGTCACATATTCAATGTCTTTTCATGTCTTTTTATGTTTTTGATAAATCAGGATGATATCTGTGTGTATCAACCAGAACTAGCAGCTGCCTTTGTGAAGGAGGTGGTGAACATAACCGCGGTGAGCAAACATCAGAATCTGTCCTCGAGATAGATGTCTTTATTGAACGAACAGCCTGTGAGTTACAAAGTGTTCTTCTGTTACAGTATGATGAGATGGGGATGGTGGATGCGGTGGCCACACGCAACCCTGTCAGCTTTGCCTTCGAGGTGACCTCTGACTTCATGCATTACTCCCAGGGCGTGTACACCAGGTGAGCAGAAGTCACGGAAATATTGCCCAGTATGCTCTTGAAAAATGATGTGTCTGTCAGTGTTCATGCTTTTTTACAGTTATAGGCAGCTTCCTCAGGAAGATCACCATTTTCCACTGTAAAATGGTGATCAATAAACATGAGTGTGAGGGTACGACCACTAGAATGACATAAATGTGTGTAAAGGTACAGTCCTTTTCATGGTAATATGTACTATGCTATCTGGTTGATAAATATTATACAGAGTATGCTTTCTTAGGGGGGTAAATACTGTTTAGTCCATAGTTTTCTTCTTTTCTGTTTTTCTCTTTGAGGTGGAGCTCACATACCTGAATCACAACATTTTCTAAGTTTTGACAAACCTGAGGAAGCTGATTCCGCTTTGTTGTGCAATTTCGACACATGCACAAACACATGGAGTGCGTGCCAAGTTACTTAGGCATTTGTCAACAAATGTATATATATATATATATATATATATAACAGTGGCTTATAAATATGTAATAGTTTTTTGTTTTAAAGTGTATCTGTACACTGAGCATTTAAAGAACAATTACAATGGCCTCTTCTGTCAAAGCTGTTGGACTTGACAGTGTTTAGTTCCTCATTCTTCAACAGTCGTGTATATAGTTGGATCTAACTCACTTATCCTCTTCCTTTCAGCACTGAATGCCACAAGACCTCAGACAAGGTGAACCATGCTGTGTTAGCAGTCGGGTATGGACAGGAGAGTGGCACCCCTTACTGGATTGTAAAGAACTCGTGGGGATCCGGCTGGGGGATTGGCGGGTAAGTCTTCTATCTAACCACATACAGGACAGTTTTACTAAATGTATCCTAACCAAAGAAAGATAAAAACAATGTTCTCCCCTTACAGATATTTCCTCATGGAGCGTGGGAAGAACATGTGTGGACTCGCTGCCTGCTCGTCTTTCCCGGTGGTTTGATTTCTGCGTGACAGCAAACTGTAAAAGGGCTGAAAGGAGAGCAGTGTCCAAACATGTGTTTTTATATAACCAATAGCCTACTGTGCTTGCATGTACAGTACAGTGGGTTTTTACACTATGAATCAAGTCGTTTCCAGATTAATCAATACATATGAAATTATCACTCAAGTACCAATCATTAAATTCATGCAATTCAAATAAAAAATATAGAATTTTGTTTGAGTATTTTTTTATCACAAATATATTGCAGCTGTCTGCACTACATAGTGCCCAAATACGATGGCTGGCTATATTAATACTAATAATTGAGAAAGGTATCACCCATGATTACATAAAACAACTCTAGAAAGTATGGAAGCCCATTTCCTCCACTGTGATGACAAAATAAAGATCCTGTAAATCATTGTAATGAGAACCTTTCTCAAAAGAATTACTTAGTGTTTCAGAATTATGATAGAGAGATACTAAGTCATAATTATGAGACGTTAAGTCATTATTTTGAGAAAGGTTTCTCATTATAATGACTTACAGGATCTTTATTTTTTCATCACATTGGTGGAATGGGCTTCCATAAGAAAGAGAGTGCACACATTAACATAAATTGTTTAATCCCTTTGTGACATAAGATTACCTTTATTGCAAACCTCAACTGCCTATTTTCCTGAACCTTGAATTAAGGGTAAAACTGGACCATTGCATCAAGAATAGTTGATATTAGTAGGCCCAAATATAGTAAACAATAGTCATTCTGTGGTTCAAAGGCCTCCGTAAAATACTGATTATAAGTCCAGCTACAATACTAATATTTGGTTAAAAAATTGTATTACAATTTTGTGTTTTTTACATCCCTCAACCTCAACGGCACATAAGGATTTACCTGAGAGAAACCTGTCATACATACCGGATATTATCCACCCACTACCTCCTCAAGTTTTACGTCATGTTGTCCATGTCGTAAGACTACATTTCCCAGACTCCTCAGTCCTGCTCGACCTCGGCCAATAAGGAGGAGTTTGTGGAATAGGCGCAAAATCCGTTGTGGGTGTGTTTACCTCACGCCCCTGGAGAGAGGAGCTGCTGCAGTAAAGCTAGTTGATAAAACTGTAAATGTTTAATGAAGTGCAAACAGACAAACTGAGCACGCGACTTGTCTTGTATCGTCGTCATTCTGTGTCACGAGCAATGCTGAAGAAACCGTCCGCTGCTGCTTGAACTGAGCTCCACAAGGCTGCTAGCAAGCTAACACTCGCTAGCTCAGCCTCTTCCCAACAACAATGTCTTGTCTTCCACAAAATAACTTGAAGGAGCAGCTGGCGAGGCACAGCAATGCTGCTCAAAGCAAGTTGTCTCTGGCTAAACCCAAACTGGGGTAAGTCTTCACGTTACAGCGACGTCACGCTAACGCTACAGCAGCTAGCTAACAGTTAGCGTTGTGCTATCAGCTGTGCTAACTGATAAACACAACAGCGTTAGCTTTGTTAGAGTCTGAATGGTTTCAGGTGTGAAGTTGGCATTCTTATGTCAAGAAATACTGCACTATATAGTCCAAAAGAGTAATTTAGCTGTCTGTTCATGTAAGTTCCTACAGGTACTAACTTTAATTTTATATCAATAAATATTTAGCTGTAATCACTGATATGAGGTTTTGTGGTCTAGTTCCTGTATTCAAAAAAATCTGGATAGTCTGCATATATATTAAAGCTTAAACCAAGACAATTGTTAATTTCTGCTATGTTTAGGTTTATTGGTCGCTTAGATATACAGAAAGAAAATACAGAAAATTCATTTTTGTTTTGTTAAAGAGAAACAAAAAGATAGATTTGACTGTCTTCTTAAGCCAATCTCCAGGTGAATGGGAATCATGCCTTTTGATCTTAATTGTCAGATTATGTTTTAATCACACTGGTTTTATTTTTCAGGGCCTTTTCTTTCAAAAAGAAGTCCTCGTCAGGTACAACCAAGGTGGAAGTCCCAACCAAGGTAATGCGCTCTGTCTTTGCAAACAGGAATGTCAATGTCCCTAAAAACAATTTGGTGACTAAATCTCCTTTGACATTTCCAAACAAGCTTGAGAGACCTCAAAAATCCCAAATCAGCAACTTCTTCCCTGTAAGTTCAAAAGGCAAGTCGGACTCCATCAGCCCAGCAGGTAACTGTGCTCCTGCCGGCCTGACTCCTTCAGCAGCGTCTGCTGTTAAAGTGACGACAGCTCCAACTAAACCTGGCAACCTGTTTGCTGGTGGCAGTGGAGGCGGTTCCACAAGTCTGGATGCATCTCTTGAATTCCCGATGGATGACTGGGATGATTCTGATGACTTTGAATCTCCAGTCAAAAATTACTCATTTAGTTCAGAACTATCTGGGAAGAAAACCAATCCAGTATCATCTTTTAGTAAAGAAAAAACACAACTATCTGTGATGCCGCAGTTGAGCAACAGCTTTGCAAACAGGAATGGTCTTTCCAGAAGTGAACAATCTTGTATGGAAACAGACGAAGTGGAGCACAGGGTCTGCAAAGCTGCAGCTTCACCGGGACCTAGTTTGAATAAGGAACTAGCGGAGTTTGAACGCGAAGTTTCTCCACTGAAAACGACCAGAAGACATCCTCCTGGTCCTCTGAAGTCCGTCGTGAGTGATAGTGAAGAGGACAACGATGATGTGCTCGAGCCTTTCAAAGGAATGACAGGTAATTTATATTTTACTTGTACATTGTGGGGCAGATATAGGTATTGGAAGCATTGAATTATACTATAAACGCAGGTTATATCTCTTTGCATTTAAGATGACAAGAAAAAATGGATTAACCCGAAGGTGATGCAGCTCGATGACAACTCAGAGCCTGAAGATGATCTTGATTACATTCCTCCTTCTCCAATCCCCGATGAGATATCTAATACTACTTCTGCATTGGAGACACGGTCAGTTCTTTCAATTTATTATTTGATATAATTACATTATTGTGTGAAAAGGGACAATGTGAAGCATGGCACTCCTGGACTCCATGGGCATTTGATTTGACCTAAAAGATCATTTTAAAAAGAAAGCGGGACATCATTTTCATCTCAAACAGATCTAAATCAGCCGATGCTAAAAGCAGAGACAGTCCTGTGCAATCGAAGGGACCCATCACCACACTACATGAATCCTCTGACAACCACTCAAAAGACAAAACAAGTGGGTGTAATACCTTTTTCTGATTTGTCCAGATCATGTGCACATTTTATTTCGCAAAGCAGAACTCCATTCTTTGTCCCTGTTGTTCATTATTTTAGTTATTTCTTGTTTCTGATCCCGTCACAGATGAGCAGCTCTTCAGTATTATGCAGTCCATCTGTTCTCTGGTTGATTCCATCCCTGAACATGAAGTCATAGCTCTGTCCTGTGGAGGTGAGCTTTTGCTGAAGAGGGCTCAAAGGTGTGTACATTTGAGTGGAAAATGGCGTTGTTGTTATTTGTGATATTTAATAATATGTCTGTATAATTGCTAACATCTTGCCTTTCTCCCCCAGGAAGAGGATTCTTGCAACTGGGAGTTGCAATTTATTGAGGATGCAGCCGCCAGACAGCACTGTGATTTCTCAATCCAGCTTTAAAGGAAAATCTTCTTTTAGCTGTGAGACGTCAAGTGTTATGTCATCCAGCAGCTCTGTACCTGTGGACTCCAACAAGCCTCCTCCGATCAGGAGATCTTCAGTCATCTCTGTGGACTATGACTCTGATCACTCGGACAGTATTATTAACATGCAGCCCTCGAATAGCAGGAACAGCGGGACCGAATATGTGACAAATCAGAGTATCTGTGACTCTCCATCAACCCACAGCCTAGCAGAGCCATCTTTCAATTTCTCTAAGAAAACGAGCACAGACCTGGATGCTTCAGATCTCTTCTTCTCACCCAAGAAGCCAGAGACGGTTGTTCAGAACAGATCTAATACTCCAGCAGCCGGTAACGCAACAGAAGACGTAGAACTAGATGACTTTTACACGGACTACTTTGACATAGATGACTTTAATGACGCCGATGTCCCAGATTACTTTGACGAACCCCCAAACTCCAGCACCGTGACTACAACAGTGAAAGGAAGGGGATCAAGCATGTCTCCGTGGGAGAAGAAGCCAACAACGCCTGCGCCTGCACCCAAGCCTGCAAAGATCTGCTCTCCTGGTAAACCTTGGCCTGTACAATGCATTTCTGTCCTCTTTTTAGGCGGTAAACTGCACTAAATTTAACTTTTAAAACAGATGAATTGTAGTTTGTAATTTGTATCACACTATAAAATATATATTTTTTATTTTAAGTAGATATTTTAAGTTATTTTCTCACCAACCTGGTCAGTCTTTTGAATCTGTTATAAAGATATAATTTGGAGCTGAAACTAATAGTGGATTAATCGATAAGCAGATCTACAGAAAATCAAACCAATAATTGAATAATGGTCTTTTTGTTAATAGCATGTTGTGGCTGATTGAATGCTGTTGGGTTATGGACTGTTGGACAAAAACAAGCAAACAGAATATTCAGTTTACGGTCCTGTGCTGTGTTTTAGTGACACAGTTTTAATGTTTTCTAATGCAGAACCCACCTTCAGAAACCCAGCCCATGACCGCTTCAGAGGGTTCAACTTCCCCCACTCGCAGGAGATGATGAAGATTTTTCACAAGCGTTTTGGTCTTCATCAATTCAGGTTGAATCAACTTGAAGCAATTAATGCGACGATTCTGACAGAAGATACGTTTGTTTTGATGCCCACGGGTTAGTACAAAAGTGTTTTATCCTAGCGATGCAACAATAGATTTCGGATGTTTTCAGCCGTGAAAATGTCCACATTTCTCTGAACCTGATGTATTTACAGGTGGGGGTAAAAGCCTGTGCTACCAGCTGCCTGCCTGCGTGTCACCAGGAGTCAGTGTTGTCATCTCCCCACTCAAATCTCTCATCGTAGACCAGATCCAGAAACTCACTACACTGGATGTGAGTATGGTTTCTCCTATTGGATCAGTAGGAAGTAGTGCACAGTAAGTATGTGTGGTGCCCGGAAGGTGTATTTAATTTGTAACGTTTCATTTTCAGATCCCAGCAACAAGCCTCTCTGGTAGTAAGAGTGACAGCGAAGCAGGGAGGATTTATATGCAGCTGTCTAGGAATGAACCCATCATTAAACTTCTCTACGTCACTCCTGAGAAGGTGAGACCTGAATGATTTACACTCTAAATGTTGGAGTCAGCGAGTGTGTTTTCTTGTTTGTTATAAATAAAGTTAGTCGTAACTGATGCCTCTCTCTTCTCCCCAAGGTGAGTGCAAGTAACAAGCTGATCTCCGCCATGCAGAACCTGTACGAGCGAGGCCTTCTGGCGCGCTTTGTCATCGATGAAGCCCATTGTGTCAGTCAGGTGTGTTCATCTGCTTTATACATAATCTGCAGTTTGCTTTTATTTTTGCAACGACCCTTGTGAATCATCCCGTGTCCTTAAAATCTTTTTAGTGGGGTCACGATTTCCGTCCGGACTACAAGAGGTTACACGAACTGCGTCAGAAGTTCCCCAACGTGCCGATGATCGCCCTCACAGCCACCGCCACCCCCCGCGTTCAGAAAGACATCCTCAACCAGCTGAATATGACACGGCCGCAGGTGTACGTGCTTTTAAATTACTTCTATTTCGTTATTCTTGAATTCAAACAACCAATAGCTTCACGTCCAATGTATTTTCAGGTTCACCATGAGTTTCAACAGAACAAACCTGAAGTACGCTGTCCTGCCCAAGAAACCCAAAAAGGTCGACGAGGACTGCATCGGCTGGATCAAGAAGCACTACCCACGTAAATAATTCACTCAGTACTTTCTCCGATCCTGGTTATTTTCGGAAACACTGCCATAGCTGTTTTGTTGAAGATTCAGCTCACAGTCTCAGGTCTGGTTTTTTTATAAAGCACATCAAGTTCTTGAGCTTGTAACAGAAATCATATAAAATCAATGCTTTTGTCAAATGCTTAATAGCTGCTGTAAGTAGCATGTCCATGATTTGAATGATCCCCGTGGGGAATGTTTAGTCAGTGATTACAGACCCTCTGACTGTCTTCTGTCTTCATTAATCTGTCACAGGTGACTCTGGAATCATTTACTGCCTGTCCCGTAATGACTGTGATGCTATGGCCCAAAGTCTGCAGAAGGCCCGGATATTAGCTCTGGCGTATCACGCAGGCCTGAGTGACGGTGACAGAGAATGTGTGCAGAGCAAGTGGATCAACCAGGACGGCTGCCAGGTGAGCGCACCACTCACTCACTGATCCAACGTAAGAATTACTTATAGATGGTACTGGATGCAAAGCAATGAACCTCAAATTGGTAACATTTTGCAAGCCAGTAGCTGTTTTTCCGATTTTAAAGTTCACACTGCCTTAGTTTCACGGCTTCCTTTTGTCTGCCAGGTCATCTGTGCCACCATAGCTTTCGGCATGGGCATTGACAAGCCTGACGTGCGCTACGTGATCCACGCCAGTCTGCCTAAGTCAGTGGAGGGTTACTACCAGGAGTCTGGGAGAGCTGGCAGAGATGGAGAGATCTCTCACTGTATTCTCTTCTACTCCTATGCCGACGTCCACCGCATCAAGAGGATCATCGGCAGTATGTTACAAAAATCTAGACCCTTCTTACTTCTGGTTGTGTGATTTTCTTTCCTCCATCAATCATAACTACATATCAGTCGATGGAGACTCAGATGACTCTCCTTTAAATCACAGTGGACCGAGAAGGGGACCAACAGACCAAGGCGACTCACTTCAACAACCTGCACAGCATGGTGCACTTCTGTGAGAACCTGATGGAGTGCAGAAGAATTCAGCTGCTCGCATACTTTGGGGAGTTCAATTTCAACAAAAGCTTCTGTAAGGAACACGCAGACGTCAGCTGTGACAACTGTGCCAGGCCCAACGTAGGAATCATTTCTTTATTGAATCATTACAAATTACAAAGCTACCGGGCCGTTTCTAACTGAGCAACAATGTTTGACTCTTCCTGTGTGCAGCAATACAAGATGAGAAATGTCACTGAAGATGTGAAGAAGATTGTGAGGTTTGTTCAGGAGAACTGCGAAAAAGTTGGATCAAGGTTTGGCAGGACTGCACAGCAAAACCGACTGACGCTGAACATGTTGGTGGAGATCTTTGTAGGTAAAGTAAATGCACGTGATTGGGAGGAAAAGTAATTTAGCGATGGTGAATCCTGCATGATGTCCTGATGTGTTCGTACTCCATGTGAACTGTGAATGGTTTCTTTCTCTCAGGGTCTAAATCGGCCAAGATCCAGACAGGAATGTTTGGGATGGGAGGAGCCTACTCAAGGCATAATGCTGACCGTCTCTTCAAAAAACTGGTTCTGGACAACGCCCTGGAGGAGGATCTCTACATCACCAACGGCGGCCAAGCTGTGTCGTACATCTCTGCTGGACCCAAAGCCGTGAACGTGCTGTCTGGACACATGCAGGTAACCTGACTTATATCCACTGTTGGGCAGCATGAAGAGCTAGATCTGTAACACTTGATTACGTATAAATGTATATAAGAAAACATTAAACGCTAACCAGCACTTGTCTCATCGCAGGTGGAGTTCTACGAGACCGAGAGTGCGTCTAGCATCAGGAAACATAAAGCTGCGGTGGCGAGGAATGTCTCCCATAGAGACGAGAAGGTTCAGGAGTGTCTGAAGGAGCTGACCGATCTCTGCAAGCAGCTGGGGAAAGCATTTGGCATCCACTATTACAACATCTTCTCTACTGCTACCTTGAAAAAGATAGCTGGTAATATCTGAGACAATTGTTGACTGTCCTTTAAATAGCTCATATGATACAGTAAGCGTGTTAGAACTTTTTTTTCTTCTTCACGTGAACAGAGAAGCTTTCTCCTGACCCCGAAGTCCTCTTACAAATTGATGGTGTGACGGAAGACAAACTGGAGAAGTATGGAGCTGAAGTCATTCAGGTCCTAGAGAAATACTCTGAGTGGCAGCTGCCTGGTGAGGGAACAAAATATAGTTTTTGCATATTTCAAGTTCTTGCACGTCCTTGCAATTCTGCACATTGTGGTATTAATCCTACATCGTCTCTGTTGCAGAGGAACAGACCGACAACGGTGGAGACGGCTGGATAGACACGGCACAAGGCCGCTCGTATGGAGACGACGACCCAGAGTCCTCCACGTACTTCCGTAGTCAGTCTGCGCAGGGACAGAAGAGGAAGAAAGCTCCATTCTTCAAATATTCCAAGAAGAGAAAACCCTACGGCAACGCAAGTGCCAACTCTAAAGGGTCTGTAATGTGTTTGTCTCACATATTGTCATATAGCTGGAGATTGTGTGCAGCAAAAAGCTTGCATTCACAGCTGAAACCTTATTTCCTCTTTTCTTCCGTCTTCTGTCTTGCGGTGGTGTTGTAGTCGTGGCTACAGCAGCAATAAATCGTGGTCATCGTCCGGCTCCAGAGGTGGATCCAGTGCTGCAGGCCGGGGGTCCAGCTCGACGGGAGATGCTTCAGCTAGCAGGAGGCCGGGCTTCATGTCTGTCCCGACCCCTCAAACCAACCAGAGACCGTTCTTAAAGCCGGCCTTTTCACACTTGGGCTAAGACCGTCTTCTGATCCGACTTCTAGGATAGCAAACTGCTTTGTCTCTACACTTTAAAACCAGTTTGTTAGTATTGGGTTTAAAGTATTTACCAGTTAGATCCCAACTGTTTATTGAAACCTCTACAATTGTATATTTATGCTCTGTACAGTTGTCTATTGATTGTTGCAAACTGTCGCTTTTCGCTGTCCATTTTGATGTAAATCTTTTTTTTATATTAAAGGTTAATTGAAATTTTTCAGGACACTTTTGTATTTCTTGCTAAAGAAAATCAAGCTGTGTGCTGTATTTGTGTTGTAGCACAAAGCCACAGGGAACCACATCATGTTTTTAATCAGTTTATTTCAAGTTTGAATAGTTTTATTGAATGGCACCAGTTACAAGGGACTATTGGAGAGAAACAATATGTTATACTGACTTGTACAGAAGGTTACCGACAGTACAAACATGGGTTCGGAATGGATCAGACTGAGCAAGAACTGGATTTGGCACATGGATTTATATATGTATATATATTTACTTTATATAATGTAATTAAACAACAATCTCCAATCCCAGGATAAAGATGCAGTCTACAAAACACACCACCAGACATGGTTATGCACACACACTTATTGACGTGTATGTGCAACTGTGTGAGAGGCATAGAGCAAATCAAGATGCCTTCGGTTATGACTACTTTCATCTATCAATCCCTCAGTTCTACATGCAGCATCCTCATTAATGTGGGTTTTTGACCAGGAAGGAAATTTAGGTAAGCCACTTGTGTATAAATCACATGATTCCAATCATCAAAACTGATTATGTAGTTATTTTTTATCACATGGTTAAAACAGAGTAGACTAAACGACAAAAACACCCCACAGAAAGGTTCCGTAAGAAAACGCCACAACGTACGACGTTAGAAGTGACCCCAATCATGTCTTTGCCTCTGCCTTAATACTATTTTGTATTTAAGTTTCACAAATGTAGGATTTGTTGCTTGGTTGTTACTGTACATAGTACCACGTGGGTGTTTCTGTTATTGAGTCCATCCCCTGTGTATCGGTGATTCAACTTCCAATGCACCACATTGTATTTGCATGACTGTACCTTCACTGCTGCCTTTCAGGGACGGACCAGCTGTTTCTGATTTGTAAACCATGGATGGCAATCACACTCGTTCATCAAAGGTCACACATCAGGCCAAAACTGCAGCAATCTCCCATGAAGTAAAGTAACTTAAATATGTACACAGGACACGGCAACTGAAATGTAACATTAAAGTCAGGTTTGTCATAGGAAACCTTCAAAGGATTAAGACATTAAGACTTCAGGCGGCCCAGTGTGCATTACAAAATGTTTAAGACAGATGAACACTGTTTTTCCCTCTTGGCCTGGGAGATTTAAGGATGGAGTAGTCTGTAGTCTGTAGTACAGTTGTTAGGGATGTCGAGTCTTTTGTTCTCCATTCTTTCATCTTTGTCACTTTGGTTAACTGCAGAGTTAGGATCCAGGCACAAGGAACAATCTGTCACTTAACAATGAAACAGCAAAGAAAACAGCAGAACAAACATCCACACGAGAGGTCTCTAAGGAAAAACGGATTTTCATAAAATGTTAATGAATGCAACAGTGACTAAGTGTCTCAGTGGGCACGTCATTGTTAGACAGGAATTAACAATTTGGTAAGTGGTTTTATAGAAACAGAAAGGACATATTTCACTTACTCTTTGTTGGTTTTTCATACACGTTGGTAAATCACATCTTTTTGCTCTTACAACCGATTATTGCTCCTTGAATAACGCTGCCTTTTTCTTTCTTTTAAATTGTTGCATGTTCAGAGAGACCACTGAAGCTACATAACGCTCATAGATGTGAGAGAAACACCTTTAGAATATGTCCTGCTAACCAGTCAGCCTGGCTGGACAGGTCTGTCACGTTGACCTTTATGTCAGTAAAGAAGTAATAAATATGAAGTATGAACATACACACAACAAAAGTCAACCCGTTCGCCCTGCTCCACCCCGTTAGGAAATGTGCTTCATCTTTGCTATTTATTGGATGTATCCAAGTTACAAATTATTACTTGACATAAATAAGCCCCTACACTGTATGTAGGACAGGTTTATTGCCAACATAGCTCTAATGATGTGATATTTGCTCTAGTATCATGCTGGGAAATGTTAGTGCTGCTCCCTGCACCACGGATAATTGAAGGATAATGAGCTACAGGAGTGGATCCAGCCACAACGCCGAAGTGCGTGCTACTCTGTGGTCAGGACTACAATTTAGCCAAGGAGTGATGCGCTCGGATTACACAGACGCAAACAAAGAAGGCAGCACCATCGGGCCGTCAGTGGAGCAGGTGCTGGTATGAGAGTGTGGCTTTGAAACAGCAGGCCAAAAACAAGTAACCCTACAGCCATTAGAGTGATGAGTCACTGAAGGCCTTCCTTTTCCAAATGGTTTCATTAATCCCACTTTCTAAGAACCTTTCACATCCCTCAAGTCTTCTCTATCTTTCTTTTTTCCTTCCTCCAAGTCCTTTTTTTTTACGTTTTCACTCTCGGTCTAAACCTTCACAGCTACCACCTTGAATCTTGTCTCCATTCCTACAGACACAGTAACACCTGCACTTGGGGCAGGAGGTAGACACGCAATACAAAAAACAGATTTTACCCAGAATCCAGCAGTCGTGGCAGTTATTGCTTCCTGGAGTTGTGAGGCTGAAGAGTCTAGAGCCTGACCGACAAATCTATATTATTATATTATATATTATTTGTCAATTTCGGCTTGTCACCGCTATATTGGTATCTGCTTTTATTTTGGCTGATAATTAAGGGAAGGAAGTAACTATTGTACATAATTTAGAAAAAATGTACACAAGGTACCCCAGAAAATGTCATCATTACATACTGCAGTTTGTCAAGCAGACTTCCACCAAATACTTTGTGTTTCCGGTCTCATTTAATTGTTTATTCTTAATTTACTACTAACCAAATGTTTTGTTTATTTTCATTATCTATTAATCTGCCCATTATTTTCTAGACTGATTACTACATAAAAAAAAAATAAAAACAGTCCCAAACCCAAAAATATTAAATTTACAATGATAAACAACAGAGATCTGAAAAATATTTTGGAAGAGCTGAAACCAGAAAGTTTACCAGAAAATCTTTACTTGAAATATGGAAATTAACTGACTATCAAAATATCTGCCATTTTCAGTAATGGTTTCAGCTCTGGTTTTGCTTCCTACTTTTTAAAATGAGTTCCAGTGTGAGGAAAGGTCACAAGTCACAACATGCAGTATCGGTCTGGCTCGCAGTCACCTCTCCAAACTCTTCAAGTAAAATAAGATATGGTAAATGATGAATGAATGGTGAAGATGTGCTTTTGGATTATTTGGTATTTGTGGCGGTATAATGATATCTTCAGATTCCATGCTGTACAAATACATGTTCATTAAAATGATCATTCAAATTGCACGCACACTGAAGGCTGATTCACTGCTGGTGGAGAGATGAGGTGTGATCAGTGTTGGGTGGATCTGGATAAAAAACCCTCTTTTTTAGTCCCCACGACAACATTTCCATAAACGGTTCTGACCTGACTTGAAACACAGCTCTAAAAAAAAGGTATAATTTAATCTTCAATAACAAAATAACATTTCAGTTCTGTTAAAATATACATGGAAAACCTGTCAATATATATTAGGAAAAAAACTAATTTGTACAAAAAGTACATCATTATTCTTATTCTAATAATAATATAGTATGTTACATAAACCTAAGAGCAAGGTTGATATTAAACCAAAATGAATCATAAACTCTTCATACAAAGAAATTATTGAAATTCATCGAATTTCAACTTGCTGAAAAATGCAAATCAAATTAATAGGAGAAATAACAGAACAACTGAACAAATGAGCACATTCAACAGTACTTAATTATTTAAACCATATGAGCATTGCACATCTAGACTATCATCTATAGGTGCCAGCTGATCTTTGCTTTTCATGAATATTTCTCTAACTGCATCTGACACTACTGGGTCACATAACACCATCGGTATTGTTTATTTCACTGTATCCTTAAAAAGAATCTTAGAAAAACAACTTTGTTCTTCATCAGTTTACTTTGTACACCAGGGTATACTTAAGCTAAGCTAATTATGTCTTTAAACAATCCACAAAATTCAGTCATCATCTTCTAAAAAAAGGCCTTTTGTAATCACACAGTCTGCTCTCCGTTTCATAAACCTTCACCATTAGTCCCTTCAAACTGTTCTGTTTTTTTCCTGCTGAGGTGAATATGCTGTTGTGCTGTGTCTAGTTGACTTCTGATGGGGATGAGCCAATATCAAAAGATATTCTATTACTTTGCCTCATATATACTTCACAGCAAAGGGCCTATTACCTCTAACATAACTCACTTCCATCTTTATTTTAAAGACAAATCAACTTCCTCGATTGCTGTTCTTCTGTTCTCATTTCCTTAAGCAAAGACATGTTTAAAAGCAATAAATAATAATGAAGGCAACTTTCAACCATTGCAATGAAATCGTCTGTTCTTTAAAAAAAAAAAAACTGTATAAACTTCTTCAGTTCTTTGATTTCAGTTTGAATTTTTTTTCCTTTGTGTTATTTGAAAAAATAAAATACCTGAAATGAGTTGAAATAAAAAAAATAAAAATAAAATGCAAAAGGTGTCCTCTGGCTTTGTAGAAAAAAAAAAGAAAAAAAGAAAACAAGCGAAACGAGGAGGTGGTTGGGTGGGTAGGGGGGTTAACTCAAAGTGGAGAAGGGGAGGCGAGATCCTGTCGGTGTTACCAGGACGTGGTCCAAGCTGAATGTCTGCAGGAGGATGATGAGAGAAGCAGGGTTCATGTTGGGACAAGGCTGCCCTCCATCACTCCGGAGTCCTAACCGTCATCTCAGACCCCCGAACGGGCTTACGAAATCTAACACCTCTACGACCTCACTCTCCCTTGTTAATGAGCAACCCGCCCACCCAGCGGAGCTTGCAGGCAAACCACCGCCTGAGGGGACAAAAGTATTCGTGATGGAACTGCTGAAATTCGGGGGTCTGGCGGATATCACGTAAAAATGCAATGTCAAGGTCTGACTCGGTGAGGATGATGAGGAGGAGGAGCAAGACAAAGAGGAGTCCAATGGTCACAAGGAGCAAACGGAGGACACTTAAGACAAATTTATTCACCTGTTCCACCTCGCTGAGGGCCGTGTCCCCCCCTGCACCCTCCTGTGCACCAAAATCACCCACTTCCCCGCGCATGGGGGTGCCTGCCTCCGACTCCTTCTCCTCCTCAATGCTGCAGGGCGCCCCGTTGACCTGGCGCGAGACGGCCAGCTCCATGCTGTGCTCGGCCACCGGGGTGGGCAGGACACTGTCAGACGGGCTGTAGGCCTCGTCCGAGATCACCGCAGTCCTCTCACTGGCATCTGTGGCCTGGCTCCGGGAGCGTGGCATGAAGCATTCCCCGTGGGACACTGAACGCACCGGTGTAGAGTGAGCACTGTCACGCAATGACTCCAGACCTTGTGTGGTGGTTCAGGGAGGAAGAGGAGGAGGGAAACGGACAGGAAGAAAGGAATATTACACACATTTCACAGCATGAAAAATAATTACTGACATGATGTGGCCATTCATAATCTAAACTTGGCCTTCACTGACACAATATACTACTGTAGCTGCACTTCTAAATGCTGGGAGGTGTATTCTGCCGTTTGTCCAGCAGAGGTCTGTCACAGAGCAGACACAGTTTCTACCGAGAGCAGATATCTGACCATGCTTTCCCCAGAGTCAAGTAGACAGGGGGGAGTATAGTCATTGCAGAATGCTCTTAAACTGATGTGATGCCTAATAATCATCTTTAATGGAAGAAATCATCATGTTCCACTTGCACTGGACGTGTAGATCTTATTCAATAAACAGTGTACAAACCCATTAAGATAAAGCATACTTTACACCAAGCCTGCTTCCAGATAAAGTTGCACTCTCAGAGCCCTAATCTCCAAACAGACTCTAGAGGTTACAGCACTGATCCCACTTTGAATGTTAGATTTCTCAATATGTACCGTTGTTTTAAAAGCTCGTGTTAGGATGCTTGATATTCTTCTCAGAGCCTCATGGCTTGAAACACAAATACAAACCACAAGGCTCATTCTTAAATTAGGATTACAATAAGGATAGGTTTAGATTTCTTTCTGTCACAACACTGGCATCCTTCGTCCATACTGGCTGAGAGGACGTCCCATTCCATGATTATTCAATTCAATTTATTTTGTACAGCCCCAAATCACAAATTTGCCTCAGAGGGCTTTACAATCTGTACACATGCGACATCCTCTGTCCCGGGACCCTCACGTCGGTACAGGAAAAATCCCCTCAAAAAACCCCTTTAACAGGGACAACAAAAAGGAAGAAACCTTAGGGAGAGCAACAGAGGAGGGATCCTTCTCCAAGGATGGACAGAAGTGCAAAAGATGTCATGTGTACATGTTATACTCTGTATATGAGGCTTACCGTCTTTGACGGCATGCAAGTGTTATTTTAGGAAGACTTGAGAGAAAAGCTTTAATGCCTATAGAAAAAGTACAACCAGCCTGCTTGCATTTGCACCAAACAGTTAAATTATCTTTCCTTAATAAATGAAACCAAAATGAAAAGGTAGGATAAAAAATATTTAACCTACAACTAGGACTGAGCCATCTAGAAAAAATCTTCTATTACAGTATTTGTAATCTGATATTGTGAGAAAAGAAAAAATGTTTATGGATAAACATGGCTGTTTGGCTTATTTCATCTCAATGAAATACACCTAACAAATCAAGGAACAAGATTGATACTGAAATCATACAGGAATCAATATTGCCATAAAACAACAATGCTCATTGATTTGCAGCATTGCCAACAGTGGTCTTATGCAACTGTAGATGCTTCAATGCATGACATATATTTACTGCTACTGTAAACTCTACTGTTCCTTTTGCAGTATCAGTAACAGAACAGTATGTGAGAGCCTCACTGCAGTGTACATGTCAGTGACGATGAGCTGCGGTTGAGCTTTGCTGACGATATCACATTCTGCAGAGACTCAAAGCGGCAACATTACACCGTCACTATAAAGGGAAGGGATTCAAATTCAGCTTTCGATGAAGAAGCAAATCATGAAAAGGACTTTTTTGAAAACTGCAGGAAAGGTAGAACCAATTATGTCCAGTGTGTAAGCCCCTGCTGACATGAAACTCCTGTCAAGTGATAAGGAGCCATGACGGTTGGGTGAGTGTCAGCAGCCATCTTTACTTTACTGTTGATCTGCCTCAGTTTATCCTGCATTATGCTTATAAAGTGAGGCAGCATGCAGGAAAAGCACCGCTTTAATTCCCATGTTTATTTTACAGCTTTTAATTTGAAACATCAAACCTGTTGAAATACTGTATACTGGTTGGAACCAAACATAGCTGCTTTATAAAGAGTCCTCCAATCTAAAATCAACAAAATGACCCTCAAAAACCTCCAGGAGGCACAGACAACCACAGGAATAGTGTTGCTCCCTCCGTGCCAACATTGCTGAGACGGAGACTGATTTAAAATAGAGAAAGCCATTGGCGCGTCCATGTAAAGCACATCCCTGGCTGGCTCTGTGACGTTTACCTGGAGGGATGCTGGGCTGAACGCAGGGCAGCGGAGTGCCAGGTAGAGGGGTGCTGCTGGCAGACTCCTGCTGCCCCATCAGGGCAGGATAAAGGGGCAGGATGCCCAGGGCCTTGCCCAGCATACGAGGCCCCAGGCTCAGCACGCGAACCTTTACATCCCGGTAGCAGTGGTTGATCATACGCAGGTGGACGTTCACCCGGGTAGTGATACGGATCAGACACTTAACCATGGTTGCGGCATGCACGTGTTTATCCCGTCCTTATGGTCCCTGTCCCGGAGTCCAGGCCACAGTCTCGCTGTGTGTGTGTTAGGCCGAGGGGTTCTGCCTTAGTTGCGGTTTGCAGAGAGGAGTGTGTGAGGCAAAACGGTGGCTTTCTGCAACAGCGCTACACTCGTCGCCATTGGCCTGGCCTGATTTGGCCCCACCCAGGCTAGTGACATACATGGAGTAGAAGACTCAGGCTATTTTCAGTTGGGGTATTAATACCACTGTAAGACACCCAGTCAGCACACACTGGGGGTGGGAAGCTCATATGGCTCTCTTGAACCCACAGAAGAAGAGCCTCAATATACACAGTACACCTGCCTCTGGCCTCCATTTATCTCATACAGTATGTACTTGAAAGGCAGGGCCGAAGGGTCTCACTAGTGGGTTTTAACCACAGCCATGCAGGACATGCAAAGGGAAGTAAGGCCACCTGCTCAGGGCCAGTAGCCTGCAGGTGGGCGGAATGAGTGACTCTTGCTGCCACTGTGTTGGCATACCAAATCACACAATCACTCAAACACACCCACAGCTCTAAAACTCTACATTGTTGCATCAAGTGGAGTAGGCTGACTGACGCACACGCCTGCAGCATGTCCCACTAGCGCTGTAAGCATGAACTGGGCCAAATGGCTCAAGTTACAGCATGTGTATGTGTGTGCAGAAGGGTGTTTTCTCATACAAATAGGAGTTCACACAAATAGGACTAATGGCTCCCTGATCCATTTGAGATTTTATACCAGCCAGTTATAACGCATCAACCACAATTATATCTGAAGACTGGGGTCGTAACTGCTTCGGAAACGACAAATTACGTGTTTCAGTGGCTGAGGATGAAACAATAACATACTCACTGTGAGGCCTCTACTGAACACAAAATGTCTTGTGAAAACATAAGTTTGCCATGAGCACTTCCATGGCAGGTAGGCAATTTGTTGCTTGCTTGGGTCTTTTGAAGCTTGGGGGGGGGGGGGGGGGGGGTGAAGCTAAGTTCTTACCCTCCATAATAGATATGTGCACAGCTCTCCGACGCGTGCGCGGTACACTGGTGAGGCGAGGCCCGTGGGTGATGGATGGACAACTTCTGCTGGGCACGAGGCCAGCTCTGCAGTGACAAACAAAAACAAAAAAGGCACAAACGTCACTGCCCACAGAAACAGCTACGAGCAGAGGTAACTCATACTGTAGCGAGTAAGTGCTGCTGGTATAAAGGCACCTACAGTAGCTTGGTGCCTAAGAAAATGGAAGAAAATTTACTAAAAATCGGATTGAGGACATTCTGACCTCTCCTGAGTTTACAACTCTACCTGTGTATTTCTGGAGGTTCGCGTTTGATTTTGGCACTCTGCTCCATCACCTCTTTTGCCACTCGTCCACTGTTATAAAGCACAGACACGATGCTCAGGATGAGTTACACACACGCATACAGAACCAGGCATCTTGGTGTCACCCAATGCAATGAAAGCCATCACTGCAGTGGAGGAGTACAGTGCATGAGCATCATGATTGAATTAACCCGCTGAATTCAGCTTTGTGTAACTGAATTACCACCAGTCAGACAAAATGCATACACAGACTTGCAGGAAAGAATATCAAAACAATGATCATGGTTTGCCCTTCAACAGTAAACTCAACATTTAACTGACTGGGCTTGTGATTTTAGTTCATATACAGTCTCCATGTATGAATTTTAAATTTTGAATGCAATGTTACATAATATACCTCAAGTAGTTTTGGTTTGAACAGCTTAGGTTTTGAGTTATTATTATTCTGCCACCACCCAGCTAAGGAAAGTCAATGGAAATTCGTCAGGTTTGTGGATTATCTAGAGAAACCTGAACATTGTTTCTGCAAACACATGTTAAATTTCATTTTTCAATGCAGAGCAGAAGAAAATTAAATTCACCCCCAGAGGCAAAAATGCAGATAGATATATCTCAAAATCTGAGCAAATAAAACAAAACTATCATATCAAGCTAGATACCACTAAAGATAAGTGAGGCATGCTTTTTGTTTAATCACTTGGGTGAACTGGTCCTTTAATAAAGGACAATATCTTGGTCATACTACAGGTTTTTAGCTCATACAAGGTGATAATGCCTCATGTGATCAGTCCCCTTCATTTTCTCCTCTGTGTCCTCTTGTGAGGTGTCAGTCCTATCCGCCGGGCAAAAAGTACGCTGACGTTACAGCACAGAAGGCCAGGAGGCCACGTCTTCTGGGAACACTTCTGTCCACTTCCAGCTGGGGGTTTTCTGCAGTGTCCTCCCCTCCCTGCCATCAGTCATACTGTCTTGTCGTGTACTCTACCTGAAACGGAAGCGGCTGCCCTTGAAGAACAGGTTGCTGCTGGACACCGTGCGAACCTGACTTGACTTCTCAAGCCTGAAGGAACAAGAAAAAAAAAGAGAAAAATCAAGCCTACTGCACCGAAAACAAGAAAAAAACAGGAAAGAAAAACCATTAGTATGAACTTTTACAATATAAACAACACCCCACACATTCTCACAATAATATACTCCTAATATGATCTTAGTGTTGAAGCGTGTATACACAGAACAACGCACAAACTAGGATCAAATACGCTGCTATTAAATGATGCATGTCCACTCCTCGCAGTATAGGCATTGCATCCTCGACACGGCTCCATTCAATATGTTTATATTGTCATAGTAAGTGAGACATTAATGTTTAATGTTTCATTTTGCTTTCAAGAGATGTGTGCTTCTCGGAAAGACATCTAGATCACATGTTCTCTTGCCTTTTAGTACCCCAGACTCCTTATTCCGGGAAGAATTTAATAAGTGGGAGGCTGATAAAATATCTTCCACTTCAGAGGGTCATCAGAAGGACACATCATATTAACTCCAATACCTCTGCCCTTCCCGATGCCCTTCTATTTCCATCTGCCAACCCCCACGCACCCTAAATCACCTGAGGCATCAGCCTGACTCATTACCCCACTGCTCCCTGCTCCCTGAGCTCACAGGCTGCTTGTTTGACTTTCTTTAGCTAGAGAGAACAGAGGGGACCCGCAATATTATTCATGGCTGACACAGGGGAGCTGTATTTCAGAGGGAGTAGGTGAAGTGCTTACAGTCTCGTGCCAGCGCACACTCATTCAATAAAAGGTCAGATGCAACTCACACCTCATTTTCCCGCCGACAAACAACCCAGAGGGAAGGGGATTTTAAGGATACCAGCGTACTGTGACGGTAACCTGTAGAGTAGGTAATTGAATCATGGCAGTGTGGGGAAATAAGAAGAACATTGATATTAAATGAAGGAAGAAGTTTGTGGACTTACTTATAGAACGCTTGATTCTCCACTCCACACTTCCAAAGGTGCTTGCATGCCTCCGGTGTGGGTGCAAAGTACGTCAAGATGATCTTTTTGTCCTGCACGTTTAAAATGACAGAACGTGCAGGGAAATATAACTTACAGCAGTGCATGTAGAGTGTAGTTTTTTTATCTTAGTTTTGTCCCCACATCCAAAAATTCATGCTCTCACCTCGTTCTGATTTGCATATACGTGGAACGTCTTGCCTTCAAACTTCAGTTTGGTCAACTCGTTCCTGTCCAGGCAAAACAGTCACACGTACAGAAAGCGGAAACCGAAAGCCACAGCTTCTTTAAATATTCATGACAACCACTTTGAGATGACATAAACAGCCACGGTGCTCTGTGTTTGGCTGACAAAACAAATAACTGATAATATTCCCTGCAGACTGGGAATGGAGAATGAGGGTAACCCGAACGCTACCAAACAAAGCCAGTGTAACGTACTGCAACCATAAAAAGTACATCTTCGTTACTGTAACAGGAACCTTTTCAGTTAAAAGCAAACAGACAAAACCCTAAAATGTTAAATAAAAATGCACCATATTGTATACATTTTCAATTAGTCATTAAAGCATCTTGCTGATTCAAATCCGTGGGTGTAAGCTGGTGTAATTAGCCATCTGTGCACATGCTAGCCGTGGGCTCTTGTCACAGGTAGAGGCAGATGGATGAGCTTTGTTGAGTGTGACTGTACAACCAGTTGTAGTGCGCATGCTGTTTTACATAGAACGCCCTGCATATAGGGCATGTATGTCAAACCAGGTCAAATTAAGGCTTGCAGTACAGTGTTTGTCTATTTACATGCAGCAAGTGCTCGAGGAGCTAGTGCGTTGTCTTTGGCGTTGCACATTTGACTCACCATTTGAGAAAATGAACCCTCTTGTTTCCCTGAAGCACCACAAAACCAAACGGTGTGAAGGCGAGGAAAGCTGGGTTCCCAGACACATCCTGAGAGAGAACAATTTTGAAATGTAACTTGAATGCACATATTTAACATGTTAACTACAGCCATGCAGGACATGTAAATGAAGAGACTAGTGTTTTAGCGTGTGGTGTATGTCCCATAAGTTTCAATGTTCATATTGGACAGAACTGTTTGCTGAAATGTTTACTGTCTAAGAATAGTACAGCAGTGCTTGAAAAACCTTGCATGGATGTGGATCAACACCATATGTCTCCAGCATCTGGGCTTTCTGGAGGAAATTTCGCTCTGATGTTTCAGGTGTCTGTCCACTGAGGGAGAGCAACAACACACCGAACATCTGTGTCAGTCCACCATAAGCATAAAAAATGCAACACAAACGTTTTGAAAGGCCAAAACACTTCTGACACAAACAAATGAATACATTCATTTAGAGAATGAAAGAGGTAGACAGAGGTTATACAGATCAAATGCTAATATAAGACCAGCAGAGGCAAATCAGGATATTTTTAAAAAGCAAGTAATTATCGTCAACTCTCGTTTCATTCAGGCTGTCAAATCAATGTGAGTATTCACAGTGAAGCACTGTTAATTTGGTGAAGAGAGAAAAAACCACTAGTGGGTAGCAGAGTCTCATGGCTCATTCTGCTCTTACTGCATCAAAACTGGACTTGATGTCTTTCTACCTCTATTGTGTCTCACTGTACCTCATTAAAACAGCAACTCATTTACATTAGAAATAATAAATTATTAATTTCAGTATAAATATGAATCAGTTGGGGGAGTTGGATGGATCAATGTGTGAAGGAAACCCTTCCTGTAAGAGTAGTGTGTGTGTGTGCATGGATCTGCTTTGTCTGATCACTTTTATTATTGTGCTCTGCTGCTCTTCCAGTTATATCTGGGAACCATCACCATTAACTAGGATAAAGGGCAGGTTATGAGTTGTTAGAGTGGAGAAGAGAGCGCTTTTCTCTGCTATCCGCTCAAATAAGCGACAATAATGTAACCCAATACAAGAAAATGGTGCCACATTACTGCACTTAATTATATAAATGTCAGAGGAAATCCGCTGTTTGTTCAGCCTTTATAAGAGCTTGATCTGTAGGTATGTGGAAACAAGAGGTATTGATTGTTTTTATATTTTGGCACTTACATCAGCTCTCTCTTGTGTATGTCTGAAATCCGGCGCTCCAGCTTCTCCGAATGTTTAGGGAAGAACTGGAATTTGGAGCTGTAACCATCAGGATGCTTCCCAGGGTCGTAATTTCCGATCTCGGCTGGAGGGAGGATCAGAAAAAGTGAAATGTTAAAACGTTCACAAACATTCAGGGCACATAAGTTAAAACGATGTCCGCAGCTTTCGGCACACCTGGACCTGCCTCTCCTCAAACACTGTGCATCCTGTGATGTTAGCTGTGCCATCATACCTGATGTGTGTGCGTGTGGTGACGATAAGAAGCCAGGTAACCACTAGAAAGATTTTGTAATCAAGCGTGGTTTCTTTGTTTATTAAAGAGTGTGCAGGTCACTTAGCTAATTATCGTTAAAAGCAGTATGGGAAATCACAACCAATGAGCGTAATGCCTAAATGTCTAAAAGCATTTACAATCTTGTATGAACTAAAAAAATATATATATATATAATATAACACTGGCAGCATATTCTTTGAAGACCATCACTATCACCTAATTCAGTTTCTTTCCACATAAAAACACATTTGCTTTGCTGGCAGCATCAGACTTGTGAACTACAAGGCATGGTAAAACAGAGGTCACAGAACACAGAGCGAAGCGGTTCAAGTCATTCCCATCTGTCACCTTCCGTTACCTTGAAGGATGTGTGCAGCCAGCATGGCCGCGTCGGAGGTTTTACACAAGAGCCGACCGTGGTAGAGGTCTCTCTTGATTTGCAGGAAGACAAAATATCTAAAAGGAAAGGACAAAAATCACGTCGGACGATCTGACAGGCCTGCTTAAGAGAATACTGATGATATTCACTCAGTCATCCACATTTCTCAGTGAAATGAAAATAGTAAGGAGGAGCAGCAAAAGAACAAACCTGATAAACCTCAAAGGCTGTTGACTTCATGCTCCCTATGGGTGGTTTGAATATTTCTTTTTGATTTAGCTGAAATGAGGGTTTTGTTTTGGGGAAAGGAGGGTAGGAAGGCCCTGAGGGAAAGCTGCTACTGACGTTGTGCTTCTCTTAAAGCCTCCAGCCTAGTTTCAGACTCGCCCAACCAATCAGCTCCTGAAGCATGAAATATTTTCTGAGACAATATCTGAAGCAAATATCAGGATGGTGATGATGACTATCATTATTATCACTATTGGAGGTGAGCTTGTTAATATTCTTACTTAAAAAAACCTCCCATGCCATGAACAGGACATTCATCTTGTTGTTTTTCACAATCAGCCAGCAGACCTGCTTTCCATCTAGGGCATTTCCACAAAGGATAATAATGTTTTCTGCATGGAGAGATGCATTAAAAAGCTACTTACATTCCCCACCTTGTTTACTCTGCAACAGACCCGTTTGAAGGTGCGTCAAGTACAATATATGGGTACTAATTAATTAGCCATTCAGTGCTGATGCCTGCTGATGATGTTTTGACTGTATTACAAAATCTCTGCATAATACAAACATGCACTCACAGACATAGCACACTATTTCGCCTTCACAGTGCAAGGCGGAACAATTTCCTCTTAATTTGAAATCCCTTTTTTGGACTAAAGGGGCAAAACAGCTGTTGAGCTGACGCTTTGAAATTAAGGTGTGTAAAAATGGCATTGTTGATTAATGTGTATTGTCCCCAGTTAAATCAACTAAAACGTCCTACGTATGTTTCCCCTTCTTTGTTTGCATTTAGTTTTTTTGTCCAGTGGACCACCTCACAGGTGAAATTGCTTTCCTGTGAATTTCATACAAACTGTCATACGCTGAAGCCTTAAAGCCGAAACACATCAGCAGTTTTGTCAGTCCATTTCTTGGGAAAACACATACACTTATCAATCCTTTCATCTTTCTTTATTTTTTAATCACTAGAGTGGTACAGTTTTCCTAAATTTGCTTTGGGTAAACTCACCTGGAAAGCATGTTAACACTACTGAATGGGCCTGTTTCACAGAAGACATTTTGACAAGTCACATTGCGAAAAGCACAGGCGTATAATATAGTTAATGAACTCCATGTAGCTGCTTCAGTTTCAGTTCACTGGGACGCTTGAATAGAACGACGCCATCGTTAACGCTATTAGAAACACCTGTGCTTTTTCCATTAGTAGAAGTCAAAATGCCTGGTGTGAGAAAGGCCTACAACACGAAAGGCATCACCATATTTTATGGAAAAGCTGCCTTTTCATTTGATATTAACATGCTGTCCAAAAAAAATCCTTGCACAATATGATGAGAGGGAGTACCCACTGAATGAGCCTTGTATGCGATTGATTATTTATCCTCTCCCTCCCTCGGTGGTCCGCACTCTCCACTCTCATCATAATGTATCACTCTCTCCTCCTCACCCCCCAACCTCCAGCCCTTCATTCACCCTGCTTTTTCTTTTTCACCCTCCATCAGCACTCTACATGTGGTGAACATTACATCTCATTACACATCAGAGAGAGAGAGAGTGGCCTACTCTCACAGTCAGTGATGAATGCACAGATTTACCAGCTGGCCCCTTTTCATTAACTAAAGGCAGTGCAAACTCAGTCACCTTCATGCTTTTAATTAGTCACTTTTACCTTTCTGCTATTTAAACAGAATCCCATTTGGGAAGAATTACCATGGAAGGAAATCTGTGACTTTATACTCAAAAAATACTCTTTTTAGACTATTTACTTTCCTCGCTGCTTCACAAGTCCTCCTGCAAACTGTGCTCTGTGTAATATTTATCATAATGTTTTAGACAGTTAAGTACTCAGGCATTTTAAATATGCAAGCCCATAAATAATGTTTTAGAAAGCCACATGTTGGCTCTGTGTTAAAATGTTAGAGCACAATCTGTACTACAGGAAAATCAGAAATAAAAAGGAAATAGAAAAGAATGAAGCACAGCTGCTTTTCACAGGTTCATCAAATGATGGCAGTCTATCTTCCTTACTTTTAAACTGAAACAAAAAGGTACACCGTGGCAGTATAAGAGTACTTGTCAATTCATCTGAAGTGAAAACAACAACAGGAGTTCATACCGAGTGATTTCCTCCTTGAGATAAGCGGGTTCAGGAGGGTAGAACTTGACTCTCAGACACATGGTGAATGGAGGCTGACCTGGAGGAAACGCACAAAAAAACATTTAAGAAACAGACAGGAATCCTGTCATTGCAAGAGATCACACATCATCCACAGGAGATGGAAGGAGACAGCAAGGCTGTTTTAACACTCCGACAGAGGCAGATTTATCCCCATGGAGTAAAAAGTGCAATACTTTTGTCTCTCAAATGTTGTGGAAAAAAAACATAAAATGAAAGTACTCCAAAGAAAAGGAATCTTAACATTAAGCACAGAGCAAATTAGATACATTTCATAACCAGCAAATGTTTGGTGTTTGCACTGTTTCAGTTTCAGTTGTAAAACAGTAAAATGATATGGATAAAAATAAACATTAAGTCATTTAACATAAGTCCAGATCTCGTCTTCCAACATCAAAAAAATTCTTTACTCAAAGTACTTACATTTCATTTGCTTTGCAATTGATTTTGAGAACTCCAACCAGTGCTGCATTGGAAAAAAAAACAGATGAATGCAAATCAATATGCGGAAGCGGCATTGACTATTAAGAATGTGTGTGGTATTCTTTTGAAAACATGACTGGAGATCTCTTGAGACACTGTTACAGCACGAGGGCTGATTAGACAGTCACACGGTGTCTTCGGCCAGATTCAGATTCTTCTTTCTCTCTGGGAGCATATTCTATCCATCTTTCTCTCAGGTTTCCGTCTTGCCAAAACAAACCCACCCACAGCAACAACCAACCAAAATAGTCCTGAGCAACAGCATAGGAAATGCAGCATCAGCAGGACTTTGCTCTTGTCTGCAGGACTACATGATCTGTGAACATGTGAATACTTCATGAGTCAAGCAGGTGCTACTACATGCCTCACAACAGAAGAGCCGGATGAAACAACAGTCCGTCTAAGAGGCGGGGCGTGAATAAAAGAAACTGAAGAACACAACTTTTCACTCTGTCCCACATTCTCGTTCTTCCAACTGAATCAAACCCAAAAGTATAGCCACTCATGAGTTTTCTATTTAGACACAAAGCAACAGAGATATGTGTGCACAAAGTCATTCTGAGTTCACATTCAACCACCTCTACCTTTAAAACATAGGACGCAGTGGATCTACTTAGACATATTTTAAACTTGTCATTTTAAAACTGGGTCTAACAAGACGAGTAGAAACTATGCATTTTTGTTTGAAATATCAACAAAGCTTTATTTTTTTATCCCATTGCAGACTATAAAGTATTAGCTCAACATTTTGGGATATACTTTGATGAGAAGACTGATGCCACTCTGTGAGTTAAATACAAAGCTGGAGTCAGGAAGCTTTTATCTTGGAGCTAAAGCAGAACACTTCAAAATTAGGCCTACCCGCACAGTCGAAGCATGAAACGATTACTAGCAACAATGGTACCAAATCTGGAAGCTTCACACAAAACACACACACATTATAAACTTGAGCACTATATTGTATTATGCATCTTATAATTGGAATAGACTGCAAAACACAAATGACATGTTCTTTTTAACCAAAGGATTTTGAGGCAACGATGTCTCAGTTTGTGATCCTCTGTCATGCTTACACACACTTACCCGCTGCTTGTCTGGATCCACATATCTGATGCCAAAATAGTCTTTCTCCAGCAAGTTGAGGTGGTGGCAGATGAGGTCAAACAGATACTGTCCCTTTGCATCTCGCTGTAAAAGAAGAGAAAAACTAAAATTCAACAAGCATGCTCACAAAAACAAATCGGAAACATATTTGAATATGTAGCCAAGAAAAGATTCAACAAAAGTACTGTCCTGAGTTCAAACATGAGAAATAATTGCTGCTAGCAGAATATGCTTCAGCTTTGTTTTTAAACCCTGCCAGAGATATCTCAGATTCATCCAATATTAATACACAGTCAGAGCTATCTGAAGTGTCTGGAATAAACCCTATCCACAGCTAAAATAGGAGCTCAAAGAGAGGATGGATTAAATATGCTGAAACCTCACTGGGGTTTTGCGACAGTAATACTCTGTATTCTGAACCTCGTGAGGATGCTTCTCTTAGAGAGACACTTGCGTATACTGCAGCACAGAGAGAAGCCTGGGCGTCCTCCACTGTCTGATGCATCTGATGCCCCGCTTCCACAATGTATCTGCATAACACTGCTGAGCATTTGAATCAATCCAACAGTATTTTTAACAGCATTCACTGCTAAGAAACTCCTCTCAAACAATGGCAGGACAGAAACAAGCTAAAAGCTGCTCTTCAACCATAATTCATTGCTTTCGCTCTGGAAGAGCGTCATACACTAATGAGGGATGCAGATACAATTAGCATGAGCGATGATTACAACTGGACGCATCAATGCAGCGAAGCCAGGTAGAGTAATAAGTGACAGGTCTTTGACTAATCACACATTGCAAGTCGGTGTCAGTCACTGTGAAGGGCTAGAATCAAGTCTGACTGCTAAAGACTCTTAAACTGTACCGTTATATCTGAAACAACTAAAAGACGAAATTTTAAGTAAATTAGCAAGACTGGATATCATAAACTGACATGTCTTTTGGGAGATGACGTACCTCAAATGGTTAATTAGGTAAAACTCTGCTGTCAGTGACATTTCAGCATCTTGACTTCTCCGACATTAAATCTTTGCATCAGAGCATATTTCTAGTGAAGAGATAAGGTTGAAAAGTGATTGTGATTCATCAGAATCAGAGAGACAGCAAATATTAAATCTAGCACCACTCCAGTGCTGATACTATTCACCGTCTCTCTCCATGCCAGGAGACGTCATGCCCACATACCACATCACAGACTTGGCTCATGGGATTTGTATTTTTGAGGATTGCTTTAGTGGGTCAGTCAGCACAAAGGCCCATGAGGAGTCTCACTGTTTATGGGCATTTTGGGAGGCAACTGTAAAAAGCGACTTTTTATCGAATGGAAAGTATTTTTTTCTAAATTCAGAGTATTGCTTATCTATTTGCACACGGTGATGTAGATCCTGTATGTCCATGCATCTGTTAAAGCTGCACTTATCCACATTTTTACATGAACGGGTCAAATGATTGTGTAATGGGAAAGTCCCACCCGACTCTGCTGTTCCCTTCAGCTCTATGAAGCATTTTAGCGACTATAAAGTCATCATTTTGGAAGTTTAAGAGCATGCAAAGGACCCGAATGCCGATACAAAAGCAGGCTGACTGGTGCAGTTGACAAACCCGAGATGTAGGCAGGCTACGGGCAAACAAAACTACATCCAAGATGAAAAACAACACGACTAAAGAAGAGGGGAGCACAGAGACTAAATACACAATGACAGGAGGGAGATAACGAGGGACAGGCGACAGCAGGGCTGATATGTAACAGGTGAAACTAATGAGGGCGGGGCAGATAATCACACAGACGGGAAACAAAGAAAGGCAGGAAATAAATCTAGACAAGAAACCAGAGAGGATTTTGTTACTAAAACATGAAACAGTCTTTAACAAAAAGCACCATGACAGAGACCAGAGATAGAAAGAGAGTGAATATTAAAGTTATGGTCATCGGGGAGCCAGAAACATGACAGAAAATGCTGATGATACTCTGTGGATCTGTAAATAGACATCTGTATCAACTTCAGAGGTTGATAATATGTCCCTGTTGTGTTTATAGCCTGTTGCCCTTCCTTAAAATGGCCCAAAAAAATAATAATGCAGATTTAAGATGCACATTATCATTTCTATGGCTGAATAAAACCAACTATAATGTGTTTGTAGTATCAAGTGAAAACTCTGTAGGTATACATCAATAAAGCATCAGGCAATAAAGCCTGATCTTATCAATAGTCTTGTTACTGATTATTTGTTTAAATATTTTCTCATCTAAACTGGGAAACTTTGCTCATTGAAGCTTTCATACACGTTTGTGTTACATACAAATGGAATACGGTTTTGTAGAATATCTTTCTTTAACTACGATATTCAAATGATTGAATCACATGTTAGCTGAGGTCTGATGCGGCACTCGAGTCTCACATAATGGCTCAGGAGGAGTGCAACAAAGTTCAGTGGTTGGCCGTCTCACTCCTCCTTCCTCTGCAAGTAGAGGTGTCACTGGCAGCACTCTCCTCCATGTCATTACTCAGGCTGCCGATAAAAGGCACTTCATTAAGGCAAAGGCCTGTCGATGCTGGGCTTGTCGCTTAACCGCCGTGACTCTCTGTGACCAAATAGAAGCTCTGCTGCTGGATGTAACTGACATTTCTGTGGTGAGAGGGCTTCATGGGTGCTAGCCACTGTCACTTCAAGATTATTTCCTCTTTGTTACATTACTAACCAATCTGACGTGCCTGCTAGCTTAAAGGGGCACCATCCTTGTGGTGTGCTCAGACGCATGAACACATACAGGATATGCATTTTTGAAGAATCACAGACACTTGCATGCAGATAAATAAAATAGAAACCGTGTCTTTGAAATCAAGGTAGAGGATTAGAGAAACACTGCTAGGTTTATCATTGAGGAAGGTGAAATATTGGTTGAGGTATGTAAAATAATGCAATCCTGCATAATCTAAATAAAGTTATAAATAATCAGGCTGTATGCACTTAAAATACAAAAAGGACACAATGAAAGGTAGAAATAATATTTCTGTTTTCAAATTGTAAAGCATGCTTCCTCTTGTGGTTTCATCATTTGGCTGAGAAGCTATAGAGGGAGGAACAAAGCCAACCACAAATTTAAAAAAACGGTTCTGTATGGAGAGGACATACTGAGTCAGAAAAGACATCTGCTCTTTTGTTGCAAGGAGCAAGTTTGTTAGTATTCAACAGCACTCCCACCAACCCCCCTTTCTTTCCCCCTACCTTCGTCTCTACTCCACACCGACCACAGCTGCATTATTCCCCGCCGGTCTCTCTAATTACAAGACTGAGGTGATTGCACGAGAGAAAAGATGTGAAATTTCTAATTAACACTAATGAACCTTTTCCTCGCCTAGATTGGCATCTCAATAGAGCCCTACAGGAGCCTCAGAAGATTTACAAAAGGGTTTATGGGTTTGACCATTTAAAATAACCAAGTGACTGGGTGAGACCCTACATATTGACAATATCCAATAGTGCTGTGCTGTATTTGTCTGCCACTTCCCTATGAAATAAAGTTAATAAATAAAGTGTGAGAAAATAATAGGATCAATTGTGATAATGCAAATGGGGATGGATTTGTTGACTATAAATCACCAGTCGCCAAATGTCCCTGTTATACAAAACAATATTGAAATAATAAGTTCGACACAACATGAATTTGTTGCCAGCCAACCAAGGCAAAAAGGGCATCTCAGAAAGACACATGATAATTAAAAATATCTTTCTGACGTGCCTCTACCTGAAAACAACTTCCTAAAAAGCCCCCAATGTACAATGGGCACTCTCCTTTCAGATTAATCATTAAAATAGTCTCCATGTCAACGCAGGAGCACAGACCATTAATAAAAGATTGTATCACTTTATGGTGAGAGGAGTGGAAACATAATGCCATTTACTGCGTGTGTGTGTGTATGTGTGTGTGCACAGTGTACAGCTCAAGGTACATAGTGCCCTGAGGTGATTTCTTTGGTTTCATAAGCAGATTACTTTCTTTCGTCCCAGGAGGCTGAGTGATTAATGTGTCAGAGCGATTCACCGTCCTGACCGAGCTGCACGGAGTTCAAGTCATGACCCAGCCACTTCAGCTGGGACTTGGAGCACACAAAGGCCAACCCCCAACCACTTACAATTAATAAGAAGCCATGTTTGCTGTAATATGTCTGTTTGTCTCAAGTCATAAACTGGTTTAGTCAAAGCACACACACAGTTAGCAGTTATGCAGGTGTTTAAATAGAGCACATCACATCAGTCTCTGTGAATCATGTATATTATTAGGTATGTTCAGGTATTATGTCATTATTATTCATTTATAAATCAATAGGATAGCACAGGTTGTTGCAGTGTCAAAGTAAAAATACAGTGGTTTCAAAGATGTTTTAGAAATCAAACTTCAACACCCAATATTATTGTGGCTAAATGATTAAATTCAACACCAGCACGTACAGTATTGACACAAACAGGTCGTGGGGCATGATGAGGACTCAAGCGCAGTCAGGTATCATGAAAAAAGGGTTTTAATGAATAACCAAAACACAAACAGGGAATCTAAGGACAAGACAAGAGACGAGGGGGGAAATCCGGCAGGGCAGGCAGACTCGGGAACAGGACGAGCAAAACGGGCGGGTAGGTAGGAACACAAACAATGACCTGGCAGTGAGTGACTGAGAGACAGGGGTTTATAAGGTGGCTAAACAGGTGAGGGGAGTTATGCTGATGAGGAGGGAGTGCTTGATTAGAGGCAGGTGAAGGGAGTTAGGGTGATGCTGGGGGAGTGACTGACAGGTAGAGTGAGGAGGGTGAAGCACACAAAGACACAGAACACAGAAGGCAAAGCCTGATCGTGACAGGTTGAGCTCTTTTTTCAGACTCCTCCGCCATCTAACAATCAATGCCACGAGATCAGGGTTTTGAACTGTAGAATCAGCAGTTGTGAAGAGAAGACTGCAACAAACAATGCACTTCGTTCTCAAGATAACACTGGTGGCTGATGGGGTGAAAACAAGGAATAAACTGAAAGAGTTCTGCAGCTTTGATATAAAACTTACTCTCCCATCGAGCCACAGTCAGCAAGCAAT